AGAATCGCGACAAAGGTTTTTAGTTAGGTTTTCATTCAACGATGGCGACACTGTCGGGAGATAAGAGAAATTTACAGGTATCTGTGGTGTGGACAGTGATTTGTGTTGGTTGGTTTTGTCATTTTAAAAGTCAAAATTTGAATTTTTAAATTGTGTTGTTGTACCCCACGGCACAGAATGGTTTCCACGCGCGTTAAAGTGAAAATTCAAAAAGTTTTGGTTGAAAAAAAACCTAATTTTTGTTCGTATTTTTTTGTATTTATTCGTTTGTTTCGTTTCGTTCGTATTTGTATTTATTATTCGTATTTACTTTGCGATCTACCTATAACTGCGTGTCTCTTGCTAACTTACTAACTCTTTTTGCACTATGTTCGACATCGGAAACTTCCTGCCAGTCATAGTTTTTAAAAAAATGAGGCGAAAAGAGCTAAGAGGAGTCAGCAAGCCAAATGCAGTTGAACATTAAAAATTATACAAAAATAATAAAAATATATGAAAAAAATCAATTCGCCTTTTTGTCAAGAATACTCGATTAGTTGGGTTTTCAGTCAACGAGGGCGCCGTAATTCATAACCGGTACATACCATTGCAGATACTTTTCTAAAATGATATGTTCTGTGCTGTGAATGGTAAATATAATTTGTCAATGTGTTTGTCATCAGTTAGCCGTTTGATCTGTGTTAGTGTTCTTTTATTTAATTTCCTATCAATTTTTAATAAAACTTTGACTTGTTAATATGTTTTTAAAAAAAGAGAATTTATGTTACATTCAAACATAGTGGAAATGCTCGTGGAAATGGGATTAAGTGATGCTTTTTATTCGCCATTGTTTGACATTCACATGAAGTGTGATTTGTGCATCAAATAAGACCAAAATTCCTAAAAATATGCCTTCATTTATAAGGTATTACTGCAGTGGAAGCTTCTGAAGTTATGCCATCACCACTTTATCCTCAGAGACTTTGCTAAGTGTGGAATTAGTGAATTTTATTTGCAGTATTATAAACTTTTCATTGTTTTTTTTTTCAAAAAAAAAAATAAAATACAGATAATAATAAAATAAAATCGATTAGGGACAAATTATTTGAAAAAAGGCGGGAGACCACGTGACCACTGCTACAACACTGAAGTGCACACTAGCGCCCCCATGCTGTGGCAGTCATACAACTCGTTGTATGAGTAAGACAAGGATAGGGGAAAAGGCACGAGTTTCCTATCTTTAGGACGGGTTAATCTGTGATGAAATCTTCTATAAGAAAAAAAATCAACATACAAAATAATAAAACAGGACGTGGCACCTCCAAAAAATTTTCCAAGAGCGCACAACCACACTAGGTTGCCACTGGCCGCCACTGCTCTTATGTTATTTTCTGACAATAAAGCTTATTTTGATTTGATTTGATTTGATTTTTAACCTCGTTTTTAGCTCTCACGCACAGCAAGCACCTACCTCAATGGCAACCAAACATTTCTGAGGTTGGGGGTCAATGGGGCTGCAGGTGGATATACAAAAGTAAGCTCATCAAACAGGCTTATTGGCTTATTATTATAGGCGAAAATGAAGTAAATAAAACTATTTATAGGGACCTCACGTGCGACAGATGGTGGTAGATTGTGTAGCGATTGTGAGAGATTGTGTAACGATTGTGAGATATTGTGCTACGATTGTGAGAGATTGTGACACGATTGTGAGAGATTGTGTGTGATTGTGTAACGATTGTGACAGATTGTGTGAGATTGTGACAGATTGTGATCTGATTGTTAATGATTGTGTGAAGATTGTGAGAAATATGTACACCGACTGCAAGAGCTATTCACCCCTCGAGGGCACATATCAAAAAACTGGCCAATACATCTGGAGATATTGATAATATTAACTCACTAATCGCCTATATGGAAATCCAAAAAAAGTAATATTGCCAATATGCAAAATGGCAGACATCCAGTTTTGTACTTTTGCATCAGTTTATTATTCACCTTGTACCTATATTATTTGAGAAATGCATTCCTTATTCCCACAAGATATACAACATGAGCGTTCGAATACTAAACCAAAAACCTCATTCAAGAAAAAATAATTTAGAAAAAGGTATTACATACTGAATAGTGAATAGGTATGGTGCAAAAAAATGCTTGTCCCGTTTTTTTTTGTAGTATGTAAGGGTAAGGTATATAAGTACTTGAGTAGGTAATAGGTACCTACTACTATATCTTGTACTACTGAATTGACACAGGAAACTGAAAAATCAACGAATTGAAAAAGATTTGCCCTCGGATTTGCCTATCAAAGAAAGGGCTATTCAGGTGATTAGGAATTAGGAGCTATTTTCTGCTTTAAAATATCCTCCTGAGACCTAACGTCCATTTTATTGGACATCCAGTTTTACATTTTTAATTTCGTTCCTATCAAAATTATACCCCTTGAAACCTGATGTTCATCCTATTGGACCTGTTTGTAACGCCATCTAGCACTGCGCGCTCGAAAATACTGATATAACCACATGTTATTTGTTATTCCAATCATGGCGGCGTTTCGTAAAGCAACGTATGATAAGTAAGTTAGTAAGTAAGGTAAGTAGTGTTTTTTTTATTGTTTATCGATATTTTTTTGCTGTTTACTATGTGTTATAGTTTATTAAGTAAATATTTCACTATAAATGTTTCTGGGTAAGCTTTATTTCTTATCAATCGCCCTAAATTCCTCGCGTCCATCTTGATGGACGTGAGGACTATTTTTCGACAATTTAAAATTTAGCTATGTCCAATAAAGGGAACATGGGGACTTTCTTAAGAATTTTTTTTTTTTGTAATTCCAGCAATATTTGGTGAGAATAAATATTTACGGCCGGGCATTGATGACGATGTATTACTTCAATTATTGGACGCTGATTCGTCTGACGTAGAAGGCTTTGAAGACGGCGAAGAAAATGATGAGTTTCAAGAGAATGTAGCGGAGAATGAAGAAAATAATGTAATGGATTTGGATGAAGACCAAAAGGAAGATATGGATACTTTAGAAGAAGACCAAAAAGAAAATATTGAGATGTTAGAAGAAGAAGCCGAAGAAACATCTAGGGATGGTGTACAAAATGAAGAACTCGATTGGCAATCGGATGATGATTTACCTTCAAGCGTGTACAAAGCTAAATTAGCAGGGCTAAATTAGCAGGAAAAAATGGCAAGAAAAAATCCAAAAAATCAAATTACACCTGGAAAAACTGTGAGGCTTTTTCTGGAACACATTTCGATATTCCAGTGAATACTGATAACTGTGACGAAAGGCAAAATTTCTCGGTGTCTGATTATTTTGCCATGTATTTCGATGACAATATTTTTCAACAAATCTGCCACTCCATAAACGTAAAATACATGTTACTACACCAAAAGCCTCTTCATTTAACAGTTAAGGAAACTAAACATTTTTCTGGAATAAGCATCCTGATGTCACTTTTAAAATATCCTAGAATACGAATGTATTGGGCAAAGACAACAAAAGTTTACGCTATAGCTTCAAAAATGACTAGAGATAGATTTTTTGTTATTAGAAACCATTTGAAGGTAGTTATTGACGGTGATATTTCAGAAGAATATTGCCAAAAAGATAAGCTTTGGAATATTAGACCTATCATGAAGAAAGTTCGAGATACATGTTTGACCTTACCAAGAGAAGCTGAAGTCGCGATAGATGAACAAATGATACCATTCACCGGGGTATGTGGTGTCAAACAATTTGTGCGTGGTAAGCCCAATCCTGAAGGCTTGAAAAATTTTGTGGGTGCAACACCATCTGGTTTGATTTTAGATTTTGAAGTATACCAAGGTAAAAATACTTTCCTGGATACTTCCGTAAATCATTTAGGTGTAGGTGGTTCAGCTGTCATCAGGCTTGTTCAGACTCTACCGCCGGGTTCGCATGTCTACATGGACAGGTACTTTTCCACAATTCCTCTTCTAGAAACCCTATTAGAGAAAAAAATCCATGGAACTGGTATAATCATGAAATCAAGAATCCCGCAGGCTGTTCACCTGACAAAGGAAAATATTTTCAAACGACTGGGCAGGGGTTCATCTGAGCAAACTGAAAGATCTGATGGGAAAGTTAACATTCTTCAGTGGTACGACATGAAATCCGTTGTTCTTGCATCAACTACTTTGCAAGAACAACCAATGCAAGAGATGGTCCAAATCTGACAAAAAATTTATCAGAGTGAGAAGGCCCTACATGGTGTCCAAATACAATGAATGCATGGATGGCATCGATCTCATTGACAGAATGATTGCGTATTATTGGATATCTGCACGAACGAATAAGTGGACTGTTAAAAGTATTTTTCATTTTGTGGATGTCGGAATTGCGAATTCCTGGATTCTGTACCGAAATGATCTCAGAAAGTTAAACAAAAAGCACTTACAGTTTTTTGATTTTAAACTTCAAGTTTCCGAATGGCTTTTTAGCTCAGAACCTGAGGAAGGTTCTGATAATGAGATGTTAGAACGAAGCACAATTCACAAGAGAAAAAATCCAATGGGATTTAATACTCCAACAGTATCCTCCAGCTCCTCATCGTCACCTTTACCAAATAACAACAACGCCAGTATCAGAAGTAGACAACACCTTCCAATTCTGAAAGGTGAATCTGAAAAACTCAGTAAGATGCAAATACCCACAATGTAATAAGAAAACAAAATTTTTGTGCGAAAAATGTAATCAATATTACTGTATAACTTATGACCATAACTGTTTTTTTAAGATTCATAAAAAATCAAAATGACTGTATATGATCCGCATGTCCAAAAAAATGGACTTTTCAAAAAACTGTCAAAAATAAAAACATTTCGATAAATTAACTGCTAATGTTTCTATTAGTACCCATTTCAAGTCAAAACCCCCAAAAAAAAATTTCAATTTATTTTTTTTTTGAGTTGGGGTCTCAGGAGGATATACCAGGAAAAAATCATGTGCAATAACAATTACCAGGAAATATGTATAAGTTATTTACCTGTAGAATCTTTTTCCAGTACCCATATTCTCAAAGAGCATGATTCTATGGCCGCACTGCAAATAATTGTTTTTCCTTTGTGCTGATAACCATCTACAATATTCACACCTAAATTCTTTTGAAACTCTTCATCTTTTAAATAGGCAGCAAAGTACTTGTTATTATTCGGAGACCAAACTATCAAACTTCCATCTGTAGCACCTGAAACTAGTTTTTGGGAATCAGACGAGTCTCCTCTAATCCAACGGACAGAGTTTACACGTTTGCCGTGTCCAACAAGTGTGTGGGTTACTTTGCCTCCACTTCCTAACTGCAAATGTGAATTTTAGTAAAAAAATACAAAACATTTCCTGTTTTTTGAATAACAAGAAGTATATATTTACATTTAAATCGTACAAGGAAACAGCATTGCAAGAGCCATAGGCAATTATATCATTCCTGTTGCAATCGGCTGCTGTTGGAGTTTGATTACAATTACTGGAAATGTAGGTATTTTTATAATTCATCTTATTTTTGAACTTTTATTTTAAAAAACTAAAAAAAAAAAGGATTTCAAGATTTCAGAAAAGAATACAAACAAAATAAGGTTATGTTAGAACACTGCCTCCATGATTCATGTCATATGTCATGATGGATCGTGTTCGGATGACGTTGACAGTTTTCTGAAGAGTGGTATTTTCAATAGTTTGAAGCCCTCGAGCTACTCGCTCCGGTGTTTAGTCGCCCCCGTTTTGAAAGGAAGAGATGCGTGGTGCAACAAACACTTTTCGAAAGGAATAAACGCGTAAAGCCCCGGAGCTGTTCCGGAGCTCCTCCTAGGTGTGACAGAAATACAACTATGATAGAGGCAAGAACCACTCGATTCATTCGTACTCCCTCACAGTTCTGGGTGTTTTTGTAAAATACGAATTTTACAAACCGAAAATACCTATTTACCTACCTAATGCAATGGGATGGGTAGAACTGGAAAAATTGAAAGCTGAGTTGAGTTCGAAGTTCGAGATTATACTCGTTTACATTTTACTCCACTGGTTCGAGCACTTTTTTCGGAGTAGGATAATTTGCGTTCAGAGCCGCTTTCCAGTATGGGAGTGTGACGCCCGGAGCTACTCGGAGCGTTGAGCCCCCGAGCTGGGGCGAGTTCAGGAATGACACACTCAGTGTGAGTGTGACACCGGTGCGACGCACTAGCCGTTCATAAAGTACGTTTTTTTTTTTAAAGATAATTCCCCAAGTCAAAAATTTAGTAACTTTGTTGGCAACACAAGCCTTTTCTACATAAAAAATTTGAAAGCATTGACAATTTTACATTGTATTGCCAACATAATGTCATTTTGACTTTTATCTTTAAAAAAAAAAGCACTTTAAATGCTATAGGCAAACTAGAGGTGGAGAACTATCGATAGTCACGAACATCGATAGTTATCGATAGTCAATACCTTAAATATCGATAGTTTTCGATAGTAATTAAATACAAGTTATAAGATGAAAGGACAGATATCCATATCATCAACATCTGCAGTGGAATTCTGTAAGGAATAGAGATATTTTCGCATGATTTCCGCTATCTCTATTGACCGACGTCCCCTCTCTATTGATTTCGAGAAGAGAGAAGCAGACAGCAAGTGCCATAGCGATAGGGATAACGATCTCTTTCCGTCACAGAATCCCGCCTCTGATATCTCATTTTCAGAAAATAATATATATATAAATAATAAAACTAAAAATATGTTTCTTATTCTAAAATCCTAGAATTTTTGTATAAAATCAAATCATTATCATTATCATTTCAACAATTCAACATTTTTGGCTTTCAGCACAAAACGCTTTCAGACGAAATCATTTGTCAGAAATAATTGCTCCACGCACCGGCACCAGCAGTACAGGGCTGCGTTCAGGATTGGCTACAGCCAAGCCAAAATTGGCATTTTGCGTTCGACTGTTCGAGCTCGGCTCCAAACTACGTGGTTCAGCATTACCGGTGGAGGGGGAAAAGTAGGTTTTGGCATTAGCATTGCCGTCCTTGAACGCACCCCTGAAAATCCTTTCAGACCTTTCAGATTACTTTTTGTAATTGTCAGAAAATTTTCCATTGTCCATGAAAAATAAAGCAAGGAAATCAAAAACAGTTACCAAACCAGTTAAAACTGTTCTGTTTTGCATTTTTGCAGTTCAGTTTTGTGTAAGAACCTAACTTTCGCTTTACTAACGGGCGTTAGAGCCAACTATCGAAAACTATCGATAGTTAAAAAAAACTATCGATATATTTCGATAGTCAATACTATCGATAGTTATCGATAGCGCCATCGATAGTTCTCCACCTCTAAGGCAAACCGAGTGCGCGCACCCTGTGCCGTTCAGAAAGTACTTTGGGCGCGCTCCAGGTGTCGCACCGGTCACACCATAATTTTTTGGTGTGGCTACGGTGTGATTGTGTCTTTATGTCAACAATGTCAACCATTCCTCCCATAATCTCAATAATCCCACCAAATATAAACAAAACACAAATAGGAATTTAAGTTTTTCCTTCAAATTAAAAAAATGAACAAGAAAAAAAAGTAATCTTAATAGATTTTGTGAAATTTAAGAGGAGATGTTCGATTGATCACACCAAGCGTTCAGAAATTCATACGAAAGTTGTCGCCTAAGAATTGTCATTTCAGTCACACCCATAAAATCGCACTCACACTAGTCACACTCGGTGTGTTATTTCTGAACTCGCCCCTGCTGTACGTATAGTCTGGCAAGTGGTAACTTGGTAGAGACGAAAGGGGGAAGAAAAGTGGGGCGTGACCTAAAAATATTCACTGACACCTTAACTGACATCACCTGATGACAGCCATGTCTTTCGGTTCAGTGGCACCGAAAACACCAAGGAAATAAACCAATAAAATTATTAGAAAAAAAATTCTTTAGTTTCGCCAATAACCGCGCCACTGCGTGCTGTCGTTCAAACTCTAACCAATAGAATCATACCTCTGAATAATCACGCCTCTCCACATCCATCATTTCGCAATGTTGCCGGATTTTTTTCTTGCAAAGTAGCAAATTCTTTTGCAGTTCGCCGTTTCGCTAGCCAGACTATACGCGTCAACCTATCAGCTGTCACATCTGTGGGTGGCTATTTATCTATTTATTTCTTGTTATATCTCAAGATTGATCATTTTAAAACATATAGTTTTGATTCTCTTTCATTTTTGATAAATAAAAAAACAAACTGCACATACAAACAGATAATTATTTTTAAAATTTGACATATTTGACACGACAGGCGTGAGACGCCATGATACTGGAACGGTACAAATCTAGTGCGTGGCGCCCCCGAGGTGCTCTGGAGCGCGCCAATGTGCATACTGACAAGAAAATAGCATACTTCAAAACTTCCATTTTTTTGACACGGTTCGACTATTCCACACGGATTTGGAGTGGAGTCAGAGCAGTGTTCTGTTCTATCAGAGTAAAAAATTTGACATCATGTGTCACGGCCTTGAAATTTTACTCTCAGCGCGTGTTAAGATTTTTATACAGTGACTCTATAACCCAGAGTGGCGACAATTGCTGTCTCATTTTTGATTGGTTCTAAAATCCCATATATTTATATTGAAAACGCCGCCATCTTGTTCCAACCCCTTGTTACTTTTAAATATGAATATATGGGATTTAGGTGAACATCCATCATAAATCATGGAAAACAACGTATTTAATGGACCTAATAATGGTCATCAAATACGTCGATTTCAATTTTTTTATGATAGATGTCCATTTAAATCCTATATATTAATATTTAAAAGTAATAAGAGGTTGGGAACAAGATGGCGGCGGGACCTCTATTGTCGCCACTGTATGTAAAGGTTTATTTAGGGTTTCCATACGTCCGGATTTACCCGGACATGTTTGGGTTTTTAGGGTGTCCGGGGAAGTCCGGCCGGAATTCGGAACAATGTCCGGAAAATTTGGAGATCGTGAAAACACTCGTACTCACTCAGTTTACGCAACGCTCTATTCAAAAGACGAAAAATTTTACTTCACGCATTATAGTACCAGTACCTATGTAAAGTAGTTCACTTTACACACTAGTAAATGAAGTAATGTCAATGACATATGTCGGCACTGTAATTTTTTTCTAGTAAATTACTTCACTTTACGATTTACGTACTAGTACATATTAATAGAGTAGGTATTGACCTAAATTTATTTTTTTACATACATATTTTATTGGTAGTAAAATTTTTTTGTAGATGCAATTCGTGTGTAAAGTGAACCTTTTTCACGAATTTGAATTTTGTCGCACTCCTCTTTCACTTTACACCCTTGTTGCATCTATTTCGGCGAAGTCCGGATTTTGTCCGGATTTCTTGACTCCTTTGTCCTGAATTTTGAAAAACCTTTATGGAAATCCTAGGTTTATTTAGCCACTGTAAGATCTCAAGATGTTTCAAAACATAATAGTTTCCAAATCGCCGTGCCATTGATTTCTTGAAGCCAAATTCTATGTCCCTATATTTCGCGCTTGCGCATTATTGATCGGAAACAACGAATGCTGGGCCGTGGACAGAGTCGGACTAGGATTTTTTGTGGATTAACATCGAGAATATAACGGGATCATATAATAATAAACAAAGATAATGTGAATGTATAGAGTAAACCTAATATGAAATATGTAAATATAAATACTTACAGTCGTTCATCGTTCGGGAAACTAAAATATCCTAAGCCTGAGCTAGTTCTAGTGTTGTTTTTACAGACAAAACAGGAAGCAACCATGATAATACACAATATATAAACGATAAAACAGTCAAGTACACAAAAATCGCGAATAACACGGAAAGCAAAACGCAAAACACTCCTAACAAAGCCGAATTTCAAATTGATGAATTTTCCGGTTACTTTTCAATTTCCTGAATAATTTTCGTCAAAAAACCTCTCTTCTTTTTTTGTAATACAATCCTGTTGCGCGTCTCGTTTGACAGTTATTTCTCGCGGGTTTTCACCCAAGCTATCTCTATCTCTTTTTTGCGTGCAGGATTGGAAAGAGACATGTATATGCCGAACTGCTTTTTCAATTTGAGAGATTTGTTCACTCATTGAGCGCATGCGCAAGATATGGGACAAAATGCTTCTATTGGTTGGAGAATTTGGCCTCAAAAAATATGGAGAGTTGTACAACTGTGCCCGCAGACAGAAAGGATTTTTAGGTTTTGGTCTTCTCTTTGCTTTTCTTTTATTTTACTTCACAGGAATTTTTTTTTTCTTTTTTTTTGTTTTTCTTGTTCAATGAGTGATGTATGTTATTTTCGGTTTTAAATGATGCTAATGATGTTTTGTTTATTTATCTTAACAGATAGGGTAGATAAAGTGATATGCTATATTTTTTTATTTACGAATGACATATAATGCCAGTATTATATTTGTGATTTTGGCAGCATAATGCCATATATTATTCCCGCAGGGATTAATGGTCATTAATCCCGTTTGCACACCAATCACAAAATTTCTCAAATTAAATAAGTAGTACTACCATGGAAACAATATACCTACCTGAACAAACTCAAAAGTGTCAGTGTCAAACGCGTAGTGCTTGTGTATTTGTATTAAGACGGATGAACAACGAGCGTTTTTAAAAAGAAAATTTCAAATAAATTAATTTGTCGTAAATAAAGTAGAGTATACTATTCGCAATAATGGCTATTATTCCCTCGGAATGTTACTCCCTCGACGCTTACGCGGCTCAGTTCGTAAATATTCCTCGGGAATAATAGCTATCATTATTGACTCGTCCTCGTTTTGTTATATTTACTATTTTAATTATACCGGGTGTCTACGAGATTAGTTTCGCGCTGGCATCTGCTGGGTTTTTTTTTCAATGGCAAAGATTTTTGGTATAGAGTATAGGTTTGATAAATGTCATCTTTTGACATATGTGTCAATGTTGGGTAACTTCCGGTTTGACTGGAAATGACCCTAACTTCGTAATTTAGAAAGGCATCCCAAGAATTTTTTCGCATTTTTGGAATCTGCGGATCATGACGTCAAATTTGAACATTTTTGAAGAAACTTTAGAATCCTAGATCAAAATTTATTTTTGAATAGGAAGTGACAGAATGGTCTTTAAATTGTTTTTTTCAACTCACACGATCGTAGAAAAATACGAATGCCATGTTGTTATCCTTTGCTTGTTCTCCAAAAGCTTCCACTTGAGCAAAAGCGCAACAAATGTTTTGGAGCCACGCCCAAATTTTGTTAAAAATTCAACCAAAACTTGACCATACAAAAAAACTCCTTTATTAGATAACAAAATAAACGCTTCACCACAAAACAACAGAAAACATTATTATTTATACCCTATAAATAAACGCTATGACCATGTTATGGTTTTTGCTGTTAAACTAATGTAATGTTTTTTCCTCTGAATGTTTTTTCACAAGGGTTCCTACTTCGTTTAATAGATGGCGTTTGAAAACGTGGGTGAATCAAGACGCCATCTATAAAAAGTTCTCGTTTTTAATTAATTTTATTACTATTATTTTGCTTTTATTACATTATATCATTGTATTATAATTGGATTTGAAAATGTTTTTAACAATACGTAAAATCCTAATCATTCATTTCCGTCACTAGATATTTTATCACTAGTGACGAAAGTGACGTTTTCGGCTAAGGTGAAATATGACGAAAGTTGTTTATTTTTCAATGGCCAGAAAAAAAGTTTTTTGCATATGCTAGTTTGTGCAATGAAAGATTTGGAGTTTGTTGGAATTTTTGATATTTTTATACCTACAACATGCAACATTTATTATTGAAACCCAAGAATCGTAAACTAACGGGATTGCTCATTCTGAGAAGGCGTACGTTCGCCGGTTCTCGACTCCACAAAGGTCTGCGAGTGACCTCACCGGGTCAGCAGCTAAGAGTGGTGACGTCAGCCGCAGACCTCGATGAAATTTTTGCGATTCAGGCTCGTTATTTGATTTTTGCGTCGATTTTAAATGAAGAAATAGCTATTTATATAACAAGTTGTAAAATGAGCGTGTTTTTTGCACTGAATGTGAAGAATGGGTGGAAAAAGCGGGAAAACCGGGACAATTCACGTGAAAAGCGGGACCTGAAATTAATAAATAAAAGGCGGGACTGATTAACAAAATGCGGGACTGTCCCTCCTAAGGTGGGACGTCTGGCAACCCTGTATGTATATAATGTAATTACATATAAAGGGTGTTCCAATAAGAGTTTCCGGATGTTTTTTCCAATTCAAACAAAAAGCAAATTAGGAAACATTTAATACTTTATAGCAATAAGTAACATGATCGTTTACAATTATACGTGAAACACCATATCCAACAGATGGCCATCACGACTTCTCTCACAGCACACAATTCTTATCCCAAAATTTTCGATCACATCTGTGCACATTTCCGGTAGATCTCACGAATAATGCGCCGAATCCTATTTTTCAACTCTTACATTGTTTGGGACTTGTTCACATACGCTTTATTTTTGATGTAACCCCTCCAAAAAAAGTCTAGTGATGTTAGATGATCGCAAGATCTAGGCGGCCAATTAACATCCCCATTTCGTAAAAGAAGTTTACCTTCAAACCGTGTTTGCAATACGTCAATGGTTTCTCTTGCTGTGTGACATGTTGCGCCGTCCTATTGGAAAAATAAAGCGTATATGAACAATCCCCAAACAATTCAGAAGTTGAAAGATGAGATTCGGCGCATTAAGCCTAGTACTCATAACTGCGAAATTCGCATTTTTTTGACATTGCGTTGACAATTTGACGTCTGATACACGCATAAAACGTCAAATTGTCAACGCAATGTCAAAAAAATGCGAATTTCGCAGTTATGAGTACTAGACTTTATTCGTGAGATACCACATATCACTGGAAATGTGCACAGATGTGATCGAAAATTATGGCCGCGGTGGACATTTTTTGGATATTGTGTTTCACGGATAATTGTAAACGATCATGTTACTTATTTCTATAAAATATTAAATGTTTCCTAGTTTGTTTTTCGTCTGAATTGAAAAAAACATCCGGAAACTCTTATTGGAACACCCCATATTTTACAGGGTGTCCCGACGTTTCACCTAGGTGTTCTTATGGGTAACTTTTTGTGACGCTTTTACCTGTGTCATCCAATTTAACCACTCTCTTTCCAGTTTCGGTCAAGTGGTGGCAACTTCAGATTCTTTAATGTAACTTATGGTATTTAATGATGGCATTTTTCTTTAGAAAATTCAATTACCAAATCGGCAAAGCCATATTTGTAAACACTTTGTTAAAGAAAATGATAAAAAATTCCAAAGTGGAACATTCGATAATGGGTTCCGAAGTTATCAGTTGGGTAAAACTTCGTGGGACACCCTGTATATACTCATAGATCACTTGGATACAAAAAGGCGTTCTTTGTGGAACCGAATGTCTCCGAGGAAATAGCTCCGGAGCTTGTGACTCTTAACAACAGAGCAGTGTTCCAACAAACATGTTTTCGAATGCGTTCCCACATGTGTCACATTTGTCAACAGTCAATTTCCGTTTTTGGCGTTTTGCGTTTTTTATTCGTTTTTCGTTTTCGTCCTGGGATTGTTGTTGTTGTGCTTTTAAGTTAAATTTTTTCATCATGGAAAACTTGGACGAAAACGATTTTATAGAAGTCGGAAATGAGTATAGCGGCATAAACAATCATTTATCCTTAAGGGAAAGCGCCGAGGCCACTGCTAGACGTCGCAGGTAAGGCAACATACTATACCTAACATCAAATAATTATCGTTTAATTTCAGCTCAAATAGGTCGATAAAACGTAAAAAATTCGACGATGAGCTTGTCGAGTACAGTCTCGGAATGCCAGGCCTGTCATACATAAAGGTAACCTAATTGCAATTGTTTAGCCCTAAACTCAAACTATCAATTTTAGAGTGGACGAACCACTGGCAGAACCCAGTCGTTCTCTACAGAATTGGCTCCTATAAGTACACCTTCCATTTCGATTCCTGCTCCTATACCTGTAGCACTAGCTGGCCCGTCTACTTCTACTCAGCCACCGCCACTTGTCGAAATGAAACCAAAAACTACTCAAAGATCAATCCCGAGCTCCTCCAAGAGTAAGAAAAAAAGTACCCCCAAAAGTCACTTGACCACCAAAGATTTGGGCCGTTGGAAGCCAGTAGACGATTTAGCTCTCATCATCGGCATTGAGCAAACCAATGACATAGACATCATTCATTTGGGCACCAAGTTTTCTTGTAAATTCACTAAAGAGGAAATCTCGTCGCGTTGGTATGCGCTGTTGTATGATCATGCAGTGTCCAGGGTGGCTGTTCAGGCTATAAGGAATCTACATCCAGAGATGATTGCTGCTGTTCAAAGTAAAGCTTTGTGGAGCGAGGAAGAGGAAAAGATATTGGGGACCATTAAATCGGTAAGATATGAAAGATCCTTTTAGAAGCTTCTAATATTTCAGAAATTCATTATTGTTGAATAATGTTTGTTAATATTGCAGAGATCATTCAAACACATAACAAACAATGATCAAGACAATGATAGACCAAGAAAGCTTTCTTAGGCTTACTCACTTAAGGCCAAATTATGGACTGACTGGTAATGTCATTGGCAACTTTATCCTACTGGTAAAACTGAAGATTTAATTCAATTTTTAGTTTTACCAACAGGCCCATAACTTGGCTTTTACTAGATCTGCAACCCTAAAATATACAGGATTGATAAAAAGTACTGCAACGCTTTACAAACATATTCACAACACCTAGACCTAGACACTGGACAGATTCTGTTCTGATAACTTTTATCTCTGATAACTTTAACAGTGACACAAAAGAATTGAACTAAACTACATTAAGCAATTTCCTATCAATTAGTTTTTTAAACATTTTAAAATCAACATTATCAATGTCGATATTGGAAGCATATAAATTGAATGTATTACACATTCTGTAAATCGACGAGTTTTTGTAGAGATTTGTCTGAGGACGCATTAAGTAAAATACATTAGAATTACGTGAATTGACATGATTCACTGCAAATAGCAATTGTGTTAGAATATCAAGACTGTCAATATCACCCTTAAGCAACCTAAACACCGTACAAAGTAGGATTGTAATTCTTCGCTTATTTAGAGACAGTCTACCAAAGATACCAAAGAAGTATTCACCAACTATATAGAGGATAGACTCCATAAGCCCGATAATGAACGAACTTCAGAAATTTCTTTTGCACCCTTTCGACATATGTTATCCATAAGTCATATTGCAATAACCAGATAATGCATCCATACTCCAAAATTGGCAAAACAAGGGTATCAAAAAGGTGCAAACTTACATCAATATTCAAATTTTTGGTGTTTCTTGTCATGAAACCAGATATTTTCTGCGCACTGTTTAGCTTCAAAGTAATGTGCTTAGAGAAGGATAATGACGTATCAATTCATTTTACCCAGGTCCTTTTGATTTTCGACTCTATGAAGCAGCGAACCAAGTGTAAAATGTATGTAAGTAAAATGCGCATATAGAATCTCCAAAATTTTCACACGTATTGCAAGGAGAGATTCCTGGGAGCTGTGTAGTTCATTCCAGAGCTGCTTTCGGATGCAGTGTGCGAAGCACCTGGAGCATTTCAAGCCCATTATACTTAGAGATGGAAAATTCTCGAGAATTTATTTTGAGAGAATTTTCTCGGAGAATATTCGGGAACATTAGAGAATTTTGAAGAATATAGCTTCTTAACATCATTTGGGACTTTTTGCATTTTTTTGGTATCTAAAATCACAAAATTGACATAGAAATTTTATATTCCTTATTTTGTCTGAAATGTTTCCATATCGAACTTCTCGGTTTCATTTTCGAAGGAATTTCCTCAAAACTAATATTAAAGGCCGGTTTATTCATCTCCTGATAAACTCTCAGGCTGGCAATCTGACGGATAAAAATGCAATGTGTAATCTCATTGGTCCGCCAGTTATCAGCCCGACCGATAGAATCTTAGAACAGTACATTTATCTTGTAGGTAATTACCAGCAAGTTTATCTGAAGATGAATACCTAAACCGGGCCTAAATATGTAAGTTAAATTATTAAATATTTCTTCGCACACTCTCTGCACTCTGCACAGTGCAGAAACAATGAAATGACTTATGACCATGGCGCTTCCGGTTGTTAGAAATATCTAGTGCAGGGGAAATGTGTTTATCTGTTTCTTTAACAGGCTGAGAGAAATAGCTAGAAATACACTGTACTCAGTCGCGCCAGTGCACATTAAATCTATTCTACCAATCGAAAACGCCTATGGGGTCGGGGTTTTTTCTGGATTTACCAGGTTATTATTCTTGAAAAAGGGGAGCAGCGTTCCCAGGAGAACGAGTGTTCCATCTTTGTTACTTATATTCGAGCTTATATTATCAGTTGCATATCATTGAGAAAGACGGAACGTTCGTTCTCTTGAGAACGCTGCTCCCCTGTTTCCCTTTCAAGAATAAGAACCCCGGGGTCCGGACTCACTGTTTTCTGTTTTTCATTTCAACCTCTAACCTCACTACGAACCTAGTGCCATCTGTATGTGCAAGGTGATAAATTTAAAAATTAGGGGTAATTTCCCATAAATTCTCGAAAATTACCGTATATTCTCATACATTCTTGAACCTAAAAAAATTATAAATTCTCGAGAATTTAAGTCCAAAGAATATTCTCTGTTCTCGATAGAAGTTCTTTGGAGAATATTCTCCGGGCCATTTCTAGGAAAGTCCATGAATAGGGTAATTTACATTATGTGTCCTAGTATTGTAATGATGCCCAATCTCCTTTTCGAAAAGAATCCTATTATTGAAGAAAAACATCAAACATTCATAGATGTATAGTCCATAAACAGTTATAATGCCGAAAGATTTGAATGCACCCCTACAGCTTGTGATAAATCCCATTTTTCTAATTGTTCTCAAGACTCTCTTCTTTATTACAAAAACCTCTTGTGTACCACTGTTAGTACTTCAAAACATTATACCATAACTCAAAATGGATTCAAAATTTACATAATAAATCATTCTTAGACTGCTCCCGTTCGTGTACCTTCCCACAACCCTATGGTTTATTTTTTATCAAAATAGATTTTGGCAATGTCAACTTTGAAACATAAACAATGCCGCTTATTGGTCGCTATTGTAAAACTGATGTCAACCTGCAGAAACACCTCATTTTGATACGAATCAGGGTCAAGCGTTATTGTTTATGTTTTAAAGTTTTCAATGTCAAAATCTATCTTGGGAAAAAATAAAGTGTAATTCTATAACAAATCAAGTGGAGTTTTGGCATTGACCGCTGTATATGTGCGGTCCAGACCAAAAATTCGTCCAAATGAATTCCTAAAGATTTTGTGTCTGTCACTAATTCAATCTCGGTTTCTCCAATATTCAAAGTAGGTCCAGGTTAACAATGGCACGCTTACCGTCCTCTATTAGACATTCTTTGATTAGACTCAACATTTTTTGGTGAATTGGAAAATTGCACTTTGTGTGGATTTGCCCTGCACGCAAACTTATGGGTCTATAATTTTCATACTGTCAAGGCTTTGGCTTGCCTGACAGAAATCTTGGGTTCGTCGTCCGTTTCGTTTATTCCAAAAAAATCAAAGTCCAATTAACACAGCAATAATTTATTCCACTTAACAAAACACTCTGACACTAATTACTTTATTAACAAACTCAACAATTAAACTCTTTACAATCACTATTCAAATCGTATCACAGTCGAACTGAAACTAAACTTACAAACCAATGCTGGCCTTCTTATATATCCCTAAATCTCTTCCTGTAAAATCTAGAATAAACACGATAATCTAATTTTCCAGATAAAAGTAGAATAATTCGCTAGATTCTAGTATTTTCACTATCGATTCTTGACAGCCTGGCGGACGATATCGTGACAATACAATAGGCTCGTTCAGTGAAACTCCATTATCCAGGTTTCTTCACATTTTCATGGAGTATTACTCACATGTTGCACATAAAAAAAATTCCAGCTTCATCGGATAAATAATAAAAAAGTTACGCGCCTTTAAATATTAAAACTTATGCCTTGGAAGTTCACCGCTGAGAGATGGTATGACGTCATCTCTCGAGTCGAGACAGGCTAAAGGCCGTCATACACGGTTTTGCATAGCGCAATGTCAACTGATTTTCTATTGACAGTTTGGTACAGAGTTTGCGGAACTATACATTTTGTAGGAGGCCTTAGCGAGATTTAATAAATATTTTAAATGAAAGTTCACTCAGTAATCTGTAATATCCACTTTTAATTGTAAAAAATTGTAGAAACTTGACAAACTTTAAAAAATTATCTGTCTCTGGGACAACTGCTGTCAACTACCTTTTCACGTGTTGCTGGTCTACACCATATCTATTGATATCCTGGAGGCAAAGCCTACAACTCGGCTTTCCTGACAAATATAGGCGACCTCGCCTATAAAACATAAAACCTAACATAAATTATTCATAAGATAGACATGCTTGCATAATGACATAAGGTATCATAAGGACGTGATAAAGTAGCGTAAGTATATAAGGTGTGATAAGTACATAAGGTATGACAAGAACATAAGGTATCATAAGAACATAAGGTATGATAAGGACATAAGGTATCATAAGAACATAAGGTATCATAAGAACATAAGGTATCATAAGAACATAAGGTATCATAAGTACATAAGGTATGATAAGGACATAAGGTATCATAAGTACATAAGGTATGATAAGGACATAAGGTATCATAAGTACATAAGGTATGATAAGGACATAAGGTATAATAAGAACATAAGGTATCATATTTAAATTCAAGTATCACAAAGATGAACACGTTTATCAGAAACGATTTCTTCGTTCCGCACGTTTCTGCAGTCGTCGTTCATTTTGTTTCATAAATTAAGGCGGTAGCCATAAAGATGCAAACCATAATTTTGCACTGGCACAAATATGCAAACCATAATTTCACATTGGCACAAATCGGCTTCTTTGTCCCACTAAGCCATGAAGATGCAAACCATAATTTTGCACTGGCATAAATATGCAAACCATAATTTTGCACTGGCACAAATCGGCTTCTTTGTCCCATTAAGCCATGAAGATGCAAACCATAATTTTGCACTGGCATAAATATGCAAACCATAATTTTGCACTGGCACAAATCGGCTTCTTTGTCCCATTAAGCCATGAAGATGCAAACCATAATTTTGCACTGGCATAAATATGCAAACCATAATTTTGCACTGGCACAAATCGGCTTCTTTGTCCTTGTTATTCCCACAATTATCCATCCATTATCCCACTTCTGAAGTTTGTAGGAGGCCTTAGCGAGATTTAATAAATATTTTAAATGAAAGTTCACTCAGTAATCTGTAATATCCACTTTTAATTGTATAAAATTGACAAACTTATAAAAAATTATCTGTCTCTGGGACAACTGCTGTCAACTACCTTTTCACGTGTTGCTGGTCTACACCATATCTATTGATATCCTGGAGGCAAAGCCTACAATTTATAATTTTTCTTTTTACATAATACTTCCATAATTAATTATGCTCATAAAATATTGAGAGTCAGGGAATTATTCAAATATACTGAAACTTGTCCAAATGTCAAACTAAAACTTGTCAAAACAATGCCCGTTTTTGTCAAAGGGACCGGCGTACCAGCACCACGACAACCAACGTGAGAGATGCAATGACGTCACCGCGTGTTTCAAATTTGGAGTATTTTGATAATTTATTTAAATCTGAACAAGGGCTCGGAAAATTATGACATTTTGCACAACTGCTCAACTCAACACGCTCTTTCAGAATATGTATTAAAAAAATACGCTGTACGAGCCTATGAGCGCTAGAGCGCTACCTTGAGTTTATCTGGAAAAGTACCATACCTGAGAGAATTATTTATAATATGTATAAGACAGTTTTTCTTTTATAATTGGAATTGCTACTTTAACAATACTAGTTGGTATCTTGTCTATTCCGCTACTATGTTTATTTTGAATTTTTTTAGACAGTTCACATAACTCATCTGCAGATATTGGTTTCAAAAGCATTGACTGATTGTTCTCCGGTATTCTGCAATCTAATGTGTCAGTATTAACATTTTTCAACATTTCTGAGATAGAGATGGCAAATTCTCGAGAATTTATTTTGAGAGAATTTTCTCGGAGAATATTCGGGAACATTGAAGAATTTTGGAGCATTTTAGAGAATTTCGAAGAATATAGCTTCTTAACATCATTTGGGGCTTTTCGCATTTTTTTGATACAAAAAATCACAAAATTTACATTGAAATTTGTTGTCCTTATTTTGTCTGAAATATTTTCATATCAACCCTCTAAAATTAATTTTCGAAGGAATTTCCTCAAAACTAATATTAAATTAAATATTTCTTTACACACATTCTGCACAGTACGGGAACAATGTAATAACTTATGGCATTTCCGGTTGGTAGAAATCGTGCAAAAAAAATGTGTTTGTGTTTCTCTCTGTTTCATTAAAAGGCTGAGAAAAAGAGCTGGAAATATACTCAGTACTCAGTGGCACAAAAATATGTCAGAATAAAAGGTTTTTTAGATATCGGACCTCGGAAAATGGATGACGGATGCATGAGACTCCGGCTCTGTTTTCCGTTTTTCACAATGAACTGATAAATTTAAAAATTACAGCTAACTTCCCATAAATTCTCCAAAAATTACCGTATATTTTCATAAATTCTTGAACCTAAAAAATTATAAATTCTCGAGAATTTAAGTTCAAAGAATATTCTCGGTAAATTCTCTGTTCTCAATAGAAGTTCTTTGGAGAATATTCTCAGGGCCATCTCTAGTCTGAGATTACTGATACCAGAAAATTGTTATATTCATGAATATTTTTGCTATTTTTTTCATTTGGCCTTTAATACCAATTTCCCCATCCTTCTTATTATTGCCTGATACCTCATGGTATATTGGCCACATACATTTTCTTTTATTGTCAGACAAACACAATTTCCTTTCATATGCCTCAGACCTGGCCTCTATCGGTAATGTGTCATATTTTCTTTTTAAATTATTATATGGTTCATTAAAATCATTATTACCTTGATATTGAGATAAAGTTAGGTACAAGTCCAAACGTTCTTTACATTCAGTATTTTTTTCATTTTGCACTTTAACTTTGTGCCTACGATTTTGATTATAATATGTTCTTAGAGGGAAACAGTGGTTGAAGATATTCGTGAAAGTGTTCAAAAATATAGATCATTGCTGGTTGACGTTGTTCTGCTCTATTTCACATATTTCCACCCAATCCTGATCCTCCAATAGTTTTGAGAAGGTATTTTTAATAAATTCTGTAAAAAACCGTTTGTGCTTTAAAATCTTGTTTAAAATGTTATCTGGAGGTTTTTCAATATAAAAAGTTTATTCCTGTGCTTTGTGATCAGAACTATGAGTATGTAGAGTTTTACCGTCCACATACTCATAATTTACAAAAATGTTATCAATACATGATTCTGAAGTTTGTGTGATTCTTGTATTTGCAAAAATTGTCTGGTTCAGATTAAAAGATTCTAGTTGTAGTAATGAAATGATTGTCTCTATTGTTGCCTTTTTTTAGCATGTCTATGTTGAAGTCGCTAGCAATTACAATTTTATTATTTTTCCCCACTAGACTATTTAACATTTTTTCAAACTGGTTTAAGAAATTATCAATCAAATTATCAATAGTAATATAACTAGTGCAATGGAAAATTATAAATATATTTCCATTGCCCGAATTGTATTTAATGAGAGAATTTCATAAATCAAAAATTTAAATTTTTTGTCAAAAAATGTCAAAACACCAGTTTTTGCACCAGTTACTATGCAATTATCGCGTAATTCCAATCTGATTGGTTCAAATCAATAATGAAAACATGTCAGTTTATTGTTGGAATACCAGTTTTGACAGATGTCAAATTCTGAAAGTCATTTATTATGGACAGTTTATTCATTTTTTTTTTTTTTTTTCGCATTTGATAGTTGATACTTTTATGTACCGGGTGTTTCACCTAAGGAGGTGGTAACTGGCTATATCTCAGAAGCGAATAACAGTAGAAAAATTATTTTCAAGTTTATAGGATAACCGCTAGGGGTCGCAACTGTAATATTAAAAGATTAAGCTCCCCACCACTTTATTTCACATCAAAAAAAAATTTGTATCTGAGCTTTTTTGTTCAGAAAGTACCAAAGATTAAAATTGTGATATTTATTGATGTCCCTCATCATATATTTTTTCGAGAAAATTCCTTTTTTATCTTTTGACATTACAACTGCGACCCCTAGCGGCCATCCTACAAACTTGAAAATAATTTCCAGCAATTTCTCTTGGCCTCTTTTATCAATAATCTCTTTTTCTCCAAAATTCTAGTGGTATTAAGTTTCTGGAATATAGCCGGTTGACTCCTTAGGTCAGTGGTTTCCAAGCTGGGGGGCGTGAAGTAACATTGAGGGGGGCGTAAGTCTTCTAAAAAATTAATACAAATTTTAGGCTTTATAATAAAAAATCAGTTAAAATTTAAAAAAAGATGTCTACAGTCCTGGCAACAGCGCATACCTAAGCCAAAGCAGCTTTCCCATGCGATCTGTTACTGTATTCCTTTTACCCGTTGAGTTACTCGGAGCTGCTTAATGTCAAAAGCGTGAACGTTCCTTTCAAAAGTGCGTGAAAGCACTCGAGTCGCTCATAGTGCATCCCCCTTTCCCCGGATGCACCAAATTTGCGGTGGGTGCAAGAAGCTTTTTTAGCTGAACATATCTTGAAAATATTGTTTGCTACTCTGTATTTGATCTGACCATGCCTACACTGAGTTTGCTTTCAAATGTTAACTGTGTTTTTTTTTACAGAATTCCAATCCTACTTTGGAAACCTTCACCGATCTATTAACTCGACACCCAGTAGAATTTTACAGAGGAAGGACACCAAACTCACTATATCACCACTGGCAATCTTTACACATGTATTATTTATTGCCCGATCAAATAGATCAAGCCACGGCACCAGGCCTACAAACAATGAAATTCGAAGAAGCAGAAGCTCTAATTCAGGATTCCGATTTGCAAGATCCTCCTGACGAGGCTGTGCAAAGAGAATTGAAACTACAACAGAGACGGAATCTGAAAGAAATTCGTCAACTAGAAAACGAGGTTGGAAGATGGAACGTGTTGGTGCATACCGTCACTGGGCATTGTCCTGGTGAATTTGAACAACAAACTTTGGCAGTTTTGAGTGGTCGCATGGTGCGGTTTCTGATGAGATCCAGGGAAGTTACTATTGGACGCTGCGGTAAAACCTCCAAGGTCGATATCGATTTGGCCTTGGAGGGTCCAGCCAATAAGGTGTCTAGAAGACAAGCGATATTGAAACTGACGGACACAGGAGAGTTTTATTTGTATTCTGAAGGGCAGCGGCCAGTTTTTGTCAATGGTAAACCTGTTGAGGCAGGACACAAAGAGCGGCTCTACCATAATACTGTAGTGGAGTTTCATACTTTGAAGTTTATTTTTTTGATTAATCAAGATTTGATTCGAACCATACATACCTAATTATAATGTGTTAAATATAATTCAACTACTTGGAAGAATATTTTATTTATGTACCTACTGTAATATTTGTAATAAAAAATAATTATTTGTGTTTTTTTTTTTTAATAAACAATTTTTTTAAATTCTTCGTATTTACTCAAGCTACAAAATTTAAACTATTCACCACAGGCTTCAGATTTACCTAATTCAAATCTGTATTTATACCATAGAACATGTACAACAATGGAAGTGCAGTGTATGATAGGACAAGGAATATGCTTCTTCCAAATCACTAGGGTTGCCAGACGCCTCGATTTAGGCGTGATTACCACGCTTTTTCACTTGCTGCCACGCCAAAGTACCCCAATGCCCCGCTTCTCAAATTCAAAGGAAAACACAAGAATAGAGCTTTTCAGAAAATCAGAAAACACCTGATAATGGTTAAACCCGACAACGCTGTGCCAGAGGGCTTATACATTTTCTATTTTAAAATGATATGTAGTTGTATTTTTCCTTTCCATATAATAAAGGCTGTTTACTCGGCTATTTATTTTATTAAAGATAAAACCCCAGGTCAAATTGGGTAGGTACCTAACTGTTTTATGTAAAAAATTTGAAAACATTGACAATTTTACATTGTATTGCTAAGATAATGTCATTTTGACTTTTATCTTTGAACTCCCCCCCCCCGTCGTTGCAACGCTTTTCCCTCTCGTAAATCTGGCAACCCTATAAATCACCCAAACTAAACTGCTGGAACTTTGATACGCATAATAGTAGATTATACCACGAGTCAATAATGATAGCTATTATTCCCGAGGATTATTACGAACTGAGCCGCGTTAGCGGCGAGGGAGTAACATTCCGAGGGAATAATAGCCATTATTGCGAGTAGTATACTCTACTTTATTTACGACAAATTAATTTATTTGAGATTTTCAATAAACAAATTTCATCCGTCTCATAATTTTCAATACAAATCCACAAGCACTACACGTTTGACACTGACACTTTTGTGGAATAATGACCATTAATCCCGCTACTCGTCATTAATCCCTGGAGGAATAACATAATGTCATTATACTGCCAAAATCACAAATATAATACGCACATTATACATTAGTCGTAAATAAAGAAAAGAAAAGAATTTGAAGTCAAATATCCCAGAAAGTATAAGTGATATTTGATTGCGGTTTGAAATATATTGGGGCGCATTGTTTAGTGTTCCAGGTATATGGTATCGCGCTGATGAACAGAAACGTTATCTACAACATACAGGGTGCACAATAAAACAGTGCAAAGTTTAACAAATTTCAGGGTGTCGCCATTTCTTTTCAAACATACTCTTGCTTTTTTTCTGGGTTTAAGAAGAATCAGTAGTTCAATGGTGAAAAACAACTTGAAGGGGTTTTGAATAAATCTCGTAGTTTTGCAAAAATTTCACAAAACGAGTAAAATGACTTTCATCACCCTGATTCTTTGTCTCAGTTACTCGAAACAATTTTCTTCATTATTGTTGGTTCAACGTTTTGGTCTTTTTTAACACGCTTATATTAGCTTCACCTGTATGTATGTATGTTTGTATGTATGTATGTTTGTAAGTAACATTGAAAATGTTTATCGCACGGGAACATAGGGATGCGTACGAACTTTTGGACCCTTGGGAAGTGTATGAACAAGAACCTACTGGAACAAGCCAAGTGAGCTGGAACAAGTCTGGATAAAGCCTGGAAAATGTCTCTGGAAACGTCTGGAAAGAGCCTGGAAATTTCTGGAAAGGGTCGGAAAAATTTTGCCAAAGGTCCCAAAAGACCTGAGGATCTTTTTCCAGAATCCGGATCAGCCTGTACAAGTCTGGATAAGGTCTGGATAAGTCTGTATTTTGTCTGTAAAAGTCTGGAAACTTCTGGAAAACACTTGGAAATTTCTGGAAAGGGTCGGAAAAATTCTGGAAAAGGTCCCAATAGACATGGGGATCATTTTCTAGAATCGGGATCAGTCTGAAAAAGTCTGGATAAAGTCTGGATAAATCTGGATGAAGTCTGGAAAACTCTGGAAAGCTCTGTATAAGTCTGAATAATGTCTGGAAAAGTCTGGAAACGTCTGGAAAAGTCTGGAAACGTCTGGAAAAGGTCTGGAAACTTCTTGAAAGGGTCGGAAAAATTCTGGAAAAGGTCCCAAAAGACCTGGGGATCATTTTCTAGAATTTGGAGCAGACTGGATAAATCTGGATGAAGTCTGTAAAACTCTGGATAAGTCTGGATATTGTCTGGAAGGGGTACGGAAAAAAGGTCGAATTACAAAATGTCGAATTGTCACAAAAGATCGAATAGCAAAATGTCGAAAATACAAAAGGTTGAAAATACAAAATGTCGAATAAATAAAGGTCGAAAATATATAAGCTTGAATAAAAAAAGGTCGAAAATAAAAAAGGTCGAATAACAGAAGATCGAATACCAGAAGGTCGAAGATACACTAGGTCGAATTACAAAAGCTCGAATAGCAAATAGTCGAAAATACAAAAGGTCGAAAAACAAAAAATCGCAAATACGAAAGGTCGGAAAAACAAAATGTAGAAAATATACAAAAGGTCGAAAATACAAAAAATCGAAAATATAAAAGATCGAATGAGAAAAGGTCGAATAACAAAAGGTCGAATAACAAAAAGTCGAAAACAAAAGGTCGAAAATACAAAATATCGCGTTGGGGGAGGTAAGTTTATAGGTTAGTTTGGGTTAGTTAGGGTTAGTTTGGGTTAGATTGGGTTAGTTTGCGTTAGTTCGATTTGCGCATTATAGCGTTGGGGAGGTAAGTTTATAGGTTAGTTTGGGTTAGATTGGGTTAGTTTGGGTTAGTGTTTCACAAGATTCTTGCAAATTTCTTGTTCTTGTCTTGTTCTTGCTGCAAGAACAAGACCAGACTCTCTTAAATTTCTTGTCTTGCAAAGTTGCCAAGCAAGACAAGAAATTATTCTGCAAGACTCTTGCAAGCTTGCAAGAAATCTTGCAAAAAAATGAAGTCTTCTTTTCTGTATATTTTTGAAGTAATTGTGGCAGTTAACAATAAGATAAAAATGTCAGCATGTCAGTTTGTAAAGTTTAAGGCATTTTTCTGCGACAAAACGTTTTGAAACTGTAGCTTCGAAACACTCAAACAGATGTCAGTTTATAACAATTCTTGCAGCAAGTATGGCTAGGAAAATTTTTGGTCATGATGGACAACGTCACTGCACACACAAAATTGAATTTAAGCTCAATGTGAAGGCCTTTTCGTTTTCAACCATCAAAGAATCAAGTCGAATTTTTTTTAAGGTTTGTTAGCATAAAATAGGCTCCTTGCATCAAATTTTTTTATTGCTGATTTCAATAGTCCCTGAAAAATAAGTTAACACGTGTTTTTTCTTTTTCTTCTTAGTCAAAAATTGACGGAGATATAACACTATGAAATCTGCCTATGACGTCACTTATCTAATAAATTAGTGACGTTGCACATGCTCAGTATATCTATATAAGGTACCTGACCCAAATAAGGCCAGTGCCCTTTATTGTTTAATATTGAATCCAATTTTCAAAAATTACAATATTTTAAAAAAAGATATCTATAATGCGAATCAAAAATCATTGCGAGTGTTCCTAGGAACTCATTATATGTCGAAAAATAGTCAACCACATATTTCATATGTCACGTTATAACTTTGAGGCTGGAACTTATAGTTATTTATGTATCAAGGGAATTATGAGGGTGTTAATACCCCAGGGCAAAGTTTGTGACACAAATTGCCCGTGGGTATTAACACCTGATAATTCCCGTGGTACATAGATATAATTTTATTTCCTACTGAATTTACTGTATTTTGTCCATTTTTATAAAAAAATAAACCAAAATGTCTATTTTTTGTCAAAGTTTTACCTATTTAAGGTAAAAGCGGGAGTTACGGAAATCCTTAACTCTCTTGGGAGTTATGATATCTTTAACTCCCTTGGGAGTTAGGACCCTGTTTATGATTATCGTAACCAAGGTATTATATGGTTATAATAGTTCAGTAGGAAATAATAGTTATTTATGTATCAAGGGAATTATGAGGGTGTTAATACCCCAGGGCAACGTTTGTGTCCCGAGGGCCTCTGGCCCGAGGAACACCATTTGCCCGTGGATATTAACACCTGATAATTCCCGTGGCCATTAATACACGAGCATGTTGTAGGATACGAAACGAGCCGCAGGCGAGTTTCGTATATAACATGCGAGTGTATTAATGGCCATTACATGAGAGTTGCATACACTATTTTTTCTACTGCCATTGATAAAACTTATGATTTTTAGATATGTCAACATTATGCTTAACTTTGAATAGAGATTTTATAATTGAGTGATGCGTCCATACAGTTGAAGGTTTCATTTTTTGTTGTGATTCTTTAAAATATACTATCAAAACATTTTCTGAGAAGGACGATGTGTTTTTGGTGTTTCCAATCTATAAATTGTCCTAATTTTTCGTAAATTTTCTTGGACTTGTCCGGTAGTATATTTATTACCTGCATTTATCGCCCTTTATTTTATGTAATTTCTAAAGGTGTTAGTGAAAATTCTTCGTTATCACTCAATATTTCCATAATAATTATTCTTTGTCCCCAATTTTAGATAACTTTTAAACAATTCGAAATCCTTTTTATAGTCATCAAAATAATTGTTTTACGCAAAATTACCATTTAAAATGTTTAATATCTTAACTGGTGGTGCCATCTATCTACATTGTATGATAGTAAAAATCAGTATTATAATGAAAATCTGTATCATAATGAAGTTCATTATGATTTTTCATTAGATTTAAATCGTTTAATAGCGTATTATGAAATGTCAGTAGAAAAACATTTTTATAAACGATATATCAACTAATTTTTATCGAAAATATGTTATATTTTGAAAGTGTCCTCCCTGACGTTTCATTATAGAAATTTATGGGATCGGGAAGTAAAATAGGAATGCATGGGTCAGAAACGAAGATTGGGTTTATTTCAAAAGTGTACAGAGTTTTGGTTAGTTTGGTTTAGTTTTGGTTAGTCAGCGTTAGTCAAGACTTTAGTATGTGGAAAAGAAAGTAGAAAGAAAAAAAAGATTGTGTTTTCGACTTTTTATAATCTTGATTGACAACT